CAGTAATTGTGTGCATCCTCTCTGCTGGTTCATCTAAAAGACTGGGGTTAACATCGTGCTCAGGCACCCCTGTGACTGTTACACTCTTCTGGCCTCCTCTCCTTTGTATACAAAGTGACCTCGTCCCCTAGCACAAGTTGCTCTCAGTTCTTCAATCCCATCCTTTCCTGCACACAGGTCAGTGCAGCCAAGTTCAAATAGTCTGACCCACATCACCGTGACTCCACAGCAGTGGTTCTCAACCTGTGGGTTGCGACCCCCTGGGGGTTAAATGACCCTTTCACAGGGGTCACATATCAGATATACTGCAAATCAGATATTTACATTACTGTTCATACAAGAGCAAAATTACAGTTATGAAGTAGCAATGAAATAATTTTATGGTGTGTGGGGTGGGGGATGGTTACCACAACACAAGGAACTGTATTAGAGGGTCACATCGTTAGGAAGGTTGGGAACCACTAGAGTTTCCTCCTCACGTGTATCTCATGACCGCATTTTTCTTACACAAAAACTTGATTTCTTACAAATTTTATCCCGCTTAAATGAAAAAGTGTTATTTCCATTAGCTATTCATATTCATTAACCTGCACGTGGAATTTGCATGGAAAAAAATGAAAAAGAAAGCAAGTTACTTATCCAAGTATTTACATACATGCTCTGCCACATAAAATCTCACAATAAAAATTTGACAACAGGAAGATTTTACCCTTCATAGTAAAATATTTATTTTAGAAGATAAGGGAGATAATCTTAGATGTTAAGCATTAAAAAATTACACTTAGTCATTGGAAAACAGCACGTCTTTTTTTTCTAGCTCTTTAAAAATATTTTAATCATGCAGAATCAACACAGTGTACTCCAGCACAATACTAAAGTGTTCCCTCAGGTTAACTGGCTTTTATTAATTTACAGGGCATAATAGTTATTAAACACAGTAGTTATTAAAAATAACAATCTAAAGGAAGTCTAAATATATTATTCAGAAACGATATACAGCAGTTAGCAACAGAAACCATTGCTCTTTAGACTCGTGTGGCATAACTCTGCTACACAGTCACAGAATCATAAAAGAAGAATCTCGAAGTACCATACAGATCCAGAAACTGGTTACACCTTCTACCATACACACATGGTATTTGCCGTAACAAACATGCAAAGCACTGGGCAGTTCACACCAGAGCTGAAGACAGACAGAGTGCAGAGAAGGCCCAGTGACTCCCAGGGGATTGGACAAGGAAAACCCACACCTTTAGAAGAATCACACCCCTTTCCCTAAGATATCTGAAATACTAGAGACCCAACAATGACCCTTTTTATCTCCTTAGGTAACATAAAGGATGGACCAGTATGCCAATCAGGAAACAAGGGGAAGCCTTTAAAAAAAAAATCATTAAAAACGTATCCAAGGATGTGACGTTCTGCTCTCACAGTTTCTCATTTTGCCATTTCTCCTATTCTACTCCTTTACTCTGGGTGTGTGCACACAAACGCACCTGCGAGTGTGCAGGTGTGAGAACCTCACCATGCACTTGTGGAGGCTGGAGGAAGGAAACTTGCCAAAGTCAGTTCTCTCCTTCCATCACGTGGCTGACAGGGATCGAACTTGGGTTGTCAGGCCTAGCAGCAAGCACCTTTACCCACTGAGCTCACCTTTACCCACTGAGCTCGCTCTCTCCAGCCCTCGCTTGGTTCTTAGTTAAAATGCCATGCAATTGCTATCCAGACGACGAGACAGCGTGGGAGACAGGAACTCCATCTGCTACCTATCACCGAGTCATCTGAACGACCCTGCTTGTCTGCACATAAAAAGAATTTAATTTGGAACTGATCATTTGACTCATCCCATTAGCCTAATTGAAGGTGTGTGTCAGTGTGGAACTCACAGTTCACAGAGAGTATTAATGGCCTGCCTCTCCACCAATTGCTGATCACCTCGCCACAGAGCACCCAGATCATCTTTACAGCACACCCCACAGCATCTCCAACCCATTCCTCATCCACTTTGAATAATTTTCGAATGGGCAGTAACTTAGATTCAGGAATGTCTTGGAGGTTTCTAATATTTATTCTTATTTGCTATCCTTTTCTTCACATAAATCTGTATCAGTTAGTATGAAAATATGCTCATTTGGCCCAGTTGTTGAGCGTTCCTTAGGCTAAAAGTATCTTCTATAACTGGGTTCTCTAGTTAATATAAGCTCCATAAAGTTTCTTTTTGAATTTTTAAGAAAATAATTACACCATTTCCATTTTTCCTTTCCTCCCTCCAAACCCTCCCATATACCCACCCCTTCCTCTCCCTCCTTCAAATTCATGGCCTCTTTTCCTGTTGTTATACATATGTATGTGTACACACACACACACACACAGACACACACACACACACACACACACACACACACACACACACACATATATTCCTAAATACTATAAATACAACCTTCTCAGTCCATATGCTATTTGTATGCATATGTTCTCAGTGCTGACCATATTGGATTATCAATTAGTATGCTCTTCTCCGGGGAAAACTATTTCTCTCTCTCACAACATCCCTTAGTCGCTTGTAGTTCACAAACTTAACTTAAAAAAATAAAATAATTAAACATCATTCAAAAGGTTTAAGATACTATGATTTAAAACATATTTTAGAATAACAAGGAGTGGACCTCAAGCTTCCTCTCACAACCGCTTTAAAAGAAGGGTTTTCTTGTTGCTGCTGCTGCTGCTGTTATTGTTTTAAAAATGTAAGTATGATGGCTATTCTTGGTTGTCACCTACAGCTGAAATTAACTAAAATCCAAGCAGCTGGGCACACCTGTGGGGAATTTTTCTCTTAAACTTGTGAGGTGGGAAGATCCACCTGGGCCACACCTTCTGCTGGCAGCCGAGATAAAGGACATGGATGGAGGAAGCTCGCTCTCAGTCTACTTGCTCTTGCTGGCAAGTCCCTTCCTTCACTGGTGTTACAGATTCCAGCGTATACTGAAGACGAACTGAGGGATCCAGCCTCACGGACTGGACAACTACAGGATTCTTGGACCTACAGGATTCTTAGACAAACATTGTCTACCAACAGAATATATGTATTCTAAAAGTTCTAGTATAAGAATATATATATTCCTATAAGCTCTGGCCCTCTAGAGAACCTGGCTAATACAATAAGCCTATGGGAGAACAGCTCAAAAGAAATTTGATTAAAGAACCAAGGTGAAGGGTGGTATTTTAGTGTCTCCCAGGAGAGATAGAACGATAGAACAAGTTTACATAGCAGATGCCCATTTGCTCATAATTTCTAAACTGCTATAAAATGGTAGCAAATAAATTATAGCAAATACTCTGTGAAAAACAACACTGATTGAAATCGGACATGGGGTCCAAGGAGGCCTATCGTCCCTGGGTACCAGAGGTCACAGGTCAGACAGCTTCATGATCCAACTACACCTGTGAAGACCCGCCCTCCCCCATCCCACCCCGTGCCGTGAAAGGGGCCCACACGATTCTTAACCACCTCTCCTTCTCTGAACTCCATTTCCAGCGAGCCAGGGTTAGGGCCACAATACAAGTCCATCACAAGATTTTCCACATGAAAACTTTAATTCAAGAAAAAAAAGGAAGCTATTTTCCACAAATAACCAAAACAATAAATTTCACAACAGAATTGGCAAAAGCATATGACACTGAATACTTTCTCTAATCTAGGGGAAATGAGGAACAAGCCTTTAAATCTTGTCTACTAAGGATGTAACATGAAGGTTTTTCAAACTAATTTCAGACTCCTCAAAACGACTACTAGAATGGAGAATTTAAATTTCTCTAGTAACATTCCATTTTATGTAGCCATCTGAATGCAAGAACAGAAAGTAAAACAGATCACTATGATTTGCAGCAACCAAAGGATGCTTCAGTGAGCCAGCATGTAAAAGAACTGAGAAACATAAAAGTAACACAATAACACAGGTGAATCGTTGCTTCTCTGAACCCTTTGGACAAAGGTGACATATTATTGAATACTGTGGTGAATATACTTTCAGAATTGGTGCTCTTGTCACTAAGTGGTAATCTCTCCAAAATGATAAAGCACCAACTTAAATTTTATGAACATGACTTACACTCATGACAAGAGTTTACAATGAGATAATGTAAATGTAAACTTCTAAAAGAAGACCATTTACTTCCATTAAGGCACATCTGAAACCTCTAGGCATTCATAGTAGAACTATATTATTCATTTCAATAATGAGATTTCTAAAAGCAGCCTGTCCCTGAAATACAATCTGCTGGGTGGGTTGGCTCACTAGAACAATGCAGGAGGCAGGGTAGTACTCACTGTCACCCTAGAAATTTCCCACACAAATCTGTTCCTGCAATAAACATTATGAACTCAATGCTCAAAGAGTAGAGGTGCATTGCTAGGTTCCTAGGTCCAACACTCACTCCATCCATCATCTCCCTCCAGAACTACCCCTGCCTTGAATGAGTCTAGCATGTCAAATTTCAGCCCATCCTAGTGGGTGTGTGCGTACACGTGCACGCATACACACACACACACACACACACACACACACACACACACACACACGTACACTGAAAGGCAAAGGAAATTATTCTAAGTGGGAAAACATAAAAACAACTATTCACCAATACTCCTGTAACAAGGGATCTTATTCCAAATAGTCATTAAAGAGCTGTGGATGTAATTATAAGATTTGAAAATGCTCTTCTTGTCTTTACAAAACACAGATCTGAGAGGCACCTAGGGAATAGTTTTAAATTGCTTGACTCAATCACTTGATCATAAATGGAAAACTTTGACTTTAAAACAATTAACCAAATATTCTTTGTTCATTTAACCCTTTTTTTAAAAAATCATTTGGCATGTAGGTTTATTTACCAAAATATTTTTTAAGGACTACCTCACTGTGTTTCTTTTCCTTCTTACCCCATCCTACCCCCATCCCTAGTAAACTGTGATAACCAGGAGAGCATGATACAAAGCATCATGGCTGTGACAAGTTTTTATTACATCTTCATGTATTTATATATGTAACAACAAAAAAGAAAGAAAAAACCTTACAACTTTCTTAGTAACTCCTGAGTTATATACTTTCTCTCCTTCAAAACAAAAAGTATAGTCTCAAAACTTACAACAAAATAAAACTATACCATGTAATTTTAGAACTGACAACTAGACCTAATTTAGAGGAAGCACATAGATTTTTTTACGTCCACCATAATTATTTAGAATTTCCTGTAAGAATGAGCTCAAAAATGCAGAATGATATAATAATCTTAATGTCAGAAACATCTCCACCGTACAGAAATATATAATTATTTGTCACTTTACAGTATTTCAAAATATCTTCACATATATTTTCTCCTCTGAAATATGAAAGCAAAAAAATATTAGAAATGCACTAGGCTAATCAAGCAATATGGCATCTATTTGCTGTGAGATGTAGTTTTATCAATAGCCAACACTTAGCATCCTTACAGCCCATGGCATAACAAAGACCATATGAGAACACCTGCGGATGCTTAGCCATGCGTCTAGCTACTTGGCCATGCTATACAGCATTTTCTGGAACAGCTTTTTAGTCAATTTCTGTAAGCATATGGTAGTTTGCAAAACACAAAACGCAGAAGTAAAATTCAGAGGGGTTTTTGATATCTAACACACTCAGAAATACATCATCTACAGATCTTATGTTAAAAAACTATTAAATGTACAAAGTACTCTTAATAGAAAAAAATCGAGACGTTCAATTTTTATTAGCAAAAGGAATGACTTCCTTTAGCTTGTTCTTCACTGAGTTATTCTCACTGCTATTTACAGATTAAATGTAGGAAACATTGCCCCTTTATGAAGTTTAAATAACCATTGTTGAGAAAAGGCCACTATTTTAGATGGAAGCCAGGGAGCTCTCCTCTTGGGACTCAATATTCTGAAATTAAACAGCACAAGCTAGCAAAATAATTAATAAGAAATAACAGTCTAAAATCTAAATTGTTAAGTGTTTTCATTTCTAAGGGTTCTGGTATACCATAATTTCTAAGTGATTCAGATTGTATTAGCTTCTGGTATTTTGTTTTTTAAAAATATTTTTAGTAGCTGGCCCACATTTATTTTTTTTTAAAAAACTTATTTATGTATATGTGTGCGTGTGCATGTATGTATGTGCACCACATGCATGCAGTTCCCCTGAAAGCCAGAACAAGGAGTCAGATCCCTTAGTACTAGAGACGGTGGTGAACCACCCCACCCAGTACAGGTGCTGGGAACTGAACCCTGGTCTTCTAAAGAGCAGCAATGCTCTGAACCACTGAGACATCTCTCCAGCACCCCTGATCCCAAGTTTCTTACACTAAATACCCTTAAAGTGGTCTGAACACTTCATTTGTGTGTGCAGTTACATACTGAATACTTCATTTGTGTGTGCAAAATTAAGATATTTTGAATTAAATTGACCATATCCCTACAATTCGGCCTAACTTAATAGTCCTCTTTCATGCCTGAACCCTGTGCAGACTGGAACAAACTAAAGCTGTCGAACTGTGGGAACTAAACGATGAAGCATTTCCTATCTTACTGGGATATGATGCACAACACCAGTGCCACTAGGATGCACACACACACACACACACACACACACACACACACACACACACACAGTCAGGAATAAGCAACTGGGCTGTGTTGTGCAAACTTAAAAACAGTAAAACCTTATTTCTAAAAGCACACGATTGATAGGCGTATTCTGTAGGAATCACCACGGAACGTACAGGTGGAAAAAGCCAACAAGATGATTATGTGTTGGGTGTGCTAGAAAGAGGAAATAGCAAAAGTTCCCTGGGGCAAGAGGGGGGTGGCGAAAGAATACAGGACTTTCCTTAAAAGCCTAAGAGAGATTTTAAAAAGTCAATTCCTTGCTAAATAGAAACAAGTAAAAATATTCTCTGTTCATTGCTTTGTCTGTGTTCGTATGAATGTTCTAAAGTCCCCATCACAGTGTTTCTGATTGTCTTCAGATCTGTAATAATTAGCAACAACTGTACACAATATAAGTTTTAGCCGATGCAATGCAATATATCTAATACTTACTAAAAGTGAATGTATGTAACTGCAAACCGTTCTCAGGTCCAAAATGACAAACTAAATATGCACATACACACATACATAGAGACTCTGTGGAGTAGTGACATCAGGAATCCCATAATGCTCATGGCATCAATACACTAATGGCTCAAAAGACAAAAGTGTTTGTTGACAGGGTGAGGAGACATCGTTAAAAAAAATGAGTAATTTTTGTGATTTAAAGAAAAAAAAAAACCACTTCTCAGTGATTTGCATCCACAATCAACCACCAATTTTGTAGAGGACAGCCAAAAAAAAAAAAAAAAACCAAAGTCTACTTTTGTTCTATATTTTTTCACACACATATACAAATCTTCTCTAAGCAATTAATACTGAAAATATTTTTATTATTCTAAACCTTAAAGAAAAAATCTTGAAATCAGACTCTTAAAGATGTCCCTGTCTTCCACCTGGATGTCGGCCTAGGAGAGGGTCCTAATGTGTACTAGAAAACTCACGAAGCCGACCATGATGGTGGTTCAAGCCAGAAGAGGAAGGGGGACAAAACAGGATGAAGGACAAGTGGGAACGGCAGCCACTGCAGAAATCCAAGCTAAGGACACCGAGGTGCTGCAACATTTGAGGAGACCCAACTTCATCCTTCCAACTTCAAAACGAATCTAAAAGTCAGGGGCGAGGCGTCACGAGAGGGTCTCGATTTCCGCATGAATCTCTCCAGAGAACAGGCTGAGTACCAAATGCTACTCGATTCGTTCTAGATAACTTGAAAATATTTGTAAAGTGACGACTGTTGTAGAGATTTTTGGAAACGCATCCTAAATATATTCTTTTATTGGATCTGGTCTTAAAAACTTCTTATTAAATATCCAATTTCACCATCATCCAAAATAAAAACAAGAACACAGGGCTGACGGCAAAAGTCACAGATGGCTAACATTTCAAACGTGACCTCATCTCTGTTCTTCAGGATAAATTAGACAGTGGTTTTTCACTTCCTTCACCGGAACTGATGTGTGGGTTTGTGACAATTCACTGGGACACCACCTCTTCGTGGCAACTGGTGTTTTCAGGATTTTCCAAGTCTTTGCTCTGGTTTTCCCCCTCTCTGGCGTTTTCAGAGGAAGTTGGACACTCCCCTTTCCCCACGGCATCAGTAACTGTTTTCTCGGGTGGAGACTCTGACTCTTCAGCAACATCGTCTTTCTCTGGGTTTCCTGGTGTGGCATCTTCACTGTGGGACTCTGGGCTTGGCTTGCTGGTCTCCTCCCCAGCCTCTCTAGACGGTCCCTTTTTTTCTTCCACAGTTTTGCTATTTGGGTGAATAGCTGAGGAATTTTTGGAGTCCTTGGATTTCTTGTGCACAGAAGTTTGACTGTTCGAACCCGAAGTGGGCAGAGTGGGCATTTTCTGGGCTTTGCTTCGCTCTGGCTGTTCTTTTCTAGGCGGCCCCCAGATGAAATTCTCTGACGGGGTGTAATGTTTTTGGGCAAAGCGCAGGAGCTTTCTCCTCTCTCTTCTGTCTCTAATTGTATAAACAAAATACTCCAGAGCACTCTGCCTAATATTGGGAATAGTGTTCTCCACCAGAGCCTCGTGGAGAATAAATTTTACGAGAGGGGACTTAAAACTCTCGTACCCAAGCTCACCAAGGCTTTTCAGAATCCGTGTAATTCTTAAGTAGTTGTGCTGGGACCTGAAAGAGAGAATAGAATGCATTTAACTCTGAGGCCTCGGTGTAACGGAACCCACGTGAAACTCCAAGGTAAAAACAAGCTCCCCTCTTTAAAAGACTCTTCACGGAAATACATTGGGATTGAATGTATCCTCGCTGGTGCTACCTTGTTTATTAATGGATCTGGGGACCAGTGTGGTCTATCTACAAGAGCAGCTTGCACAAACAGCCAAGCATCAGGTTAGCTGATATCACCCTGAGAAGTAAGGATGGCACAAACCAAGAAGACACATGCACGTAACTCTTACTAGAGTCATGTTTTAACAGCTCTGTTTTATTCCTGGTTATGGCTGACTCTTACCATGTCTAACTTATAAACCTCATCCTGGATGTCCATCTACATGAACAAACCAGAGTACGTATATAGGGCTCTGTGCCATCTGTGACCTCAGGCAGCCACGGGCCCCTTCCACGCTTGCAACATCACGGACGTATGCTCCTCATCACAGGTAGCCAGGGCTAAACAGAGACGCACCGGCTAACAGCTCAACGGTAATAAACAGCACCAACCGACCAGCAGAATCGGTCAGATAGGATAAGTCACAAGGAGGGCAGCGCTCGGTCCCGCTGTCTGGCTCGAACAATTGTGACAGGAAGAAGCAGAACTGACTTGAGAGAAACTGCCTTGGCTGTTGGCAGAGTACGGGCCTTCCAGCCTGTCCCACCCTAGCTTTGTTACTCAATAGCAATGAGAAACGACAATGCCCATCTAAGCCTCAGTGTTTCCATCTGTAAAATGGGGGAAAGGGCCCACACTCTAACTGCAATGTTGCAAAAATCAGAGTAAATGACACAAACGAAAGACATGGACAGACTCCAGAAATACTGGACATTACGTAGAACTATTTGGTGTGCACGTGTGTTCATGTGTGCACAGGTGCACGTGTGAGTGAGTATACAGACAGGTACATCTGTGTCCTCTGGCACTGTCTCTCTGTCACCACTCCCCTTGTCTTTTGACACTGGGCCTCTCATCGGCCTCCTAGAGGCTAGGCTAGTTGGCCAGTGACCCCTAGGGATCTGCCTGTCTTCACTTCCCCAGGGCTGGGACTGGAAGCATGTCTCACCCACCACCCTCAGCTCTTAGCGTTATTATTACTACTACCATCTACTGAGATAGGATATGGCACCGAGGAACACTATCTGCACTCGGCTTCACCTATTTCTTCCATCTTTTCCATCCTCACTGTCCCTTCCCTTATTAAAAGGCTTTAAATCTTACTCATAACAAGCCCGATTCCAAGCACGCATTTCTCCCACGTGACAGACACTTAGACACTTTTTTATTTCAAAACCCAGGCCATTCTTGGATTGGCGCTTTCCAAATTTTCTTTCTCACAAGTCACACCCGAACTCCCCTGCCTTGTTCAGCTGACCACACTTGCCTTCACGCACACACCTGGCCAAACCCTTCAGAACCCCCAGGACAGAACCACGTCTGACAGTAACAGGTCAGGTATGCATTGACCCAAAATCGCTACCCACCAGAACCAGTAGTCGAGCAGTGACTTCTAACTCCCTAAACCCTGTTTTAGAACAGACGTCAGACTTTCTTGAAAGCACTACACGTATCTGCCCCAGCTTCCAAAAGTGCTTGAGTTTTTTAATTAGAAATAATTACCTCATCATCTGGGAATGCTGGAGAAAGATGTCAAATTATTTGAGACACAGAAGTATGCAATTCTATGATCTTAATAGGTCTTAAATTTCAATGAGAAAATACAGACGAAATAAAAAATCTTAATTATTTGAGCTAACCAACTCCTGGGATAGATAAACCACACAAATTTTATTATCTCCATCCTTTTGGATATTTGTCCCAAATGTATTATTTTAAAATTTAATTTTTTTAATCTGAAAGGTAAAACTTAAGACATATGTCTGAATATTATGAATCTGTGATACCTGATTTTTTAAAAGCTCACTAATGTGGCTGTGTGTGTCCCTGTGTAAGTTTATATGCATCATGTGTGTGCAGGAATCAATGGAAGTGAGAAGAGGGTGCCAGATTTTTCAGGAACTGGAGCTGAAGGCAGTGAGATCCCACATGGGTGCTGGGACCCACACCCTGGTCCTCTGCAAGGGCAGCAACTGTTCTTAACCACTGAGTCATCTCTCCAGCCTCAAATCTACAGTTTAAATTGTGTTTTGAGACAATGTGACTAGGGTGACATTAAGAAGCCATACCACTAACAACAGGGTTGATGTAGCATTTTAAATTGTGTTTTGAGACAATGTGACTGGGGTGACATTAAGAAGCCATACCACTAACAACAGGCTTGATGTAGCTGTCACATTAATGTAGAGTTCTGATACTGAAAGAACTTAGGGACAAAACCTGAAACACGATGAAGCAGATACCAGATTTGCAACAAAAACCACCCTCGGGTGAACAGGAAACTTAGTATTTGCATACACACTCATTTGTAGCTACACATTCACAAGTTAAAGTATTTATGTAACAGAAAACAACAACAACAACAAAAACCAAACCTGAGCTGAAGAAAATAATGATCAGGATTCTAGAATGAAATTATCTATAAAACAAAGATATTGGGTGTTTGGGGACGATTTGAAATAATGTTGCAACAAAAGGCAAAGCGGTAGAAAGAGAAGTCAGCTCCTGCTGGAACCGTGCACAGCCTTGGGCTTGCACACCAGGGAACGGAGAAAGGGCTGCTGTACAGACAGAAGGGAGGGGCTGATTCTGCCTGAAGACTAGACAGGTAAAGAGAGAACACAGGAGGGAAATAAAACCCCAAACAAGACTCAGTACAGCTCACTGCAAACATGACCTGAACAGCATCTTGGCGGTGGATCTGCCGATCTGTACTTTCATGCCTGAACGTGTTTCACCACCATATTTTATCATGGTTACTTGTTCACTCAATGTTACTTTGTGTTAATCTGATTAAACAGTTTTCCTCCACTGAGCTATAAATATAACCAAATCTCGGCCTATTCTAAAAAGTTCAAGATGCCACATGGCTTCAATCACATATAAGCGGTGACATTTAAGAATAAATCACAGAAGAATCCAAATGAAAATGAAAATAGAGGATATATGTTTATGTCATTCCACAGCATTTGCTCAAATACAATCAACAAAACCTTTTGGCAATGGGGAAGTTGTGGCGGCATGTGTCTGACATCCCAGGATTCAGTGCCCGGAGGATGGCAAATTTGAAGTCAGCCTGGACTCAGAGACCTTGTCTCAACGTCTTGCAGAGAATCCAGACTTGGTTCCCAGCACCCGCACGAGGCAGTTCACAACTGCCTGGAACACCAGTCCCACCGGTCTTCTGACTTCCGCAGGCATCTGCACATATGTGGCACACATATATACACATAAAATGTTTTGCTCAAATTTTTTAAATCTTTTTTTTTTTTTTTTTTTTTGCCTAGGAGAGTTCATCCAGAGCTGGGAAAGCAGAGAGACACTGGATGACAGGAGGAGCAGTTGCTAGGTGGAACGGAGTGGAAAGGCTGTGAATTCAGGCCATTCTTCCAACTGAGGTGAAGAGACAGCCTAATTAAATCAAGCCTTCAGCAAGGGCTCTGTTTTTTGGCTATAAATGAAAAGAGCTGGCAGTGATACCCTGGGGAGGATTTGAGCCTTTGATCATCTTCTGTCCAGGATTTATAACTTCAACAACCATGTGCCAAGCCAGACTGTCATTCCAAACAAAAAAAAAAACGACAGTGGTGAGCACACAAACAGTGAGGTGTGATCACTTTCTGCTAAGGCTGACTTGCATACAGCTTTCTCCAGCAGTGTGACAAAGTTGCCTTAGAAACCATCCAGACACGGCTGTCTGCATTACCCAGGCAGAGGCATACATGTCTGCGCTTCAAATAGCTTATGTGTCCAACTTAACCCCAGTTCTAAGTTGCTGGGTCTCCAGCCAGGACTGTAAAGCTTCACGCCCACATTTGCAAGGCACTAGCAGAAGCTACTATTTTAACAGTATTAACTTTACAACAAAGGGAAAAGATGCCCCAACACTAACAGTTCTACTCCTTTTACCAAAGCAAGGGTAAATTCTAGAAAGATGCGAAAAATTTAAAGAGCTGATGCCAAGACTCTGATTGTTTTTGCCAAAGAGAAATCACTTATGTTAGTTCTTTTTTTCCTTAATACTTGCCCAGTTCAGCTAATTACAAGGTACTAAAAAAAGTTTCTTAAAATTGTTGGTTTCATAGTCCAGTACTCATAAGTCACTCTATAATTAAAAATGGAAAAAAAAAACAGGGTGCATATGAATATTTTTAAAACTAAACTTTGGTTATAAGTATTAATTACCATTATATATAGTCAAGCAAAAGAGTACAGCTAAACTCATCCAAGGAAGCTGATGAATTTTCCTTTATAGATTTTGGAATTAACCAGAAATGAGTACTTGTCTTTTCCATAACTCATAAAGATAGCTTTTCCTCTATTTTAGTTAGAAGTATGGCCACATTGCTTGAAACCATTTTTATACATCATAGACCTCAGTCACGAATTTAATCTAAGACGTCTGCATGCATGAAGATACTAGAAACAGTTTGTACCGCAAGCAGCCTATAGCCTAGGAGAGAATACATGAAAAACTACAAGCAAGCAATAACTATAAACTCCCTGAAATGTGGCATATAGACCAAGAAAAGCCACATTTGGCTGCAGGCAGAGGATTCAGGAAGAGACTGCTCTGGAGCAGAACAGCCAATGCTCTACGTAGAATTTGTCCTTCGGAGTTTCTGTGCTTGCCTTTAGAATGGACAAGAAGGAATAAATGCATTTCTGACTGGATTTTGACTCATCTCTATGCCCAACATCTAGTAGTCCTATATCCAATGTCTAGCCATCCCTATGCCCAATGGCTAGCTGCTCCTATGCCCAATGGCTAACTAGTTCTATGCCCAACAGTTAGCTTGTCCTGTGCCCAATGACAAGCTATTTCAATGTCCAACAGCTAGCTAGTCCTATGTCCACCAGCTAGCCAGCCCTACGCCCAAATGGCTAGCTGTTCCTACTTTGCAGAGAATGGGGCCACAGGAAAAGGCCACTGGCTTACCATTAAAGCTCCACTTACTCATTCAGATGTTGAAATCTTTCTTGCCAATTTACAGCCCGAGCAACATTTCCAGTTTTATCAATCAGCTTTATTCCAAAAAATTCCAGCATCATTTTATAAGCCAAGAGGAATCTTCTGATTGCTTCTTTTGTTTTTTTGAATTCCTAATATAAGAAGGGGAGAAAAAAAGTCACTTGAAATGACTCAGTAGCTATCAGGACAATAAAGTAATTATTATATACTTTATAATATATTATAAAGATATTATTTGGCTACCTCATGTAGGATGAATTGAGCTTGCATTACCTCAATTTCATATGTAGTTAACTCTTTAGCATAAAAGTTCAAGCCTTGTTCTCTCAGGGGAAAGAGCCTAGTTTGTTAAAAAATAAATAAATAAAATAAAAATTTTCAATTGACATTGTCTTGAGAACACACAATTAAACAGGACACGGTTCAAGGCAGAGAACATTTTACTGACCATTGAATGTAAGTGTGGTTGTGTTCCAGCTTCTCATAGTCTCCTTTCCATTTATTTAGAACCTCTTCAATGTAAACACCTACACAGTAAATATTTAGAAAATGAACCATTCATTGAAAACATGGTGATAGCATTTTAACAGACAAGTCATTTGAGTTCTATATTAAAACATTTAGCTTAAAAACAACACACAAGAACACCCCTAAAAGAAGAATACTCTGCCATATACTCTGTAATGTAATAAGCCTAATTTAAAAAGAAATAGCAGCACCTCAAATTACAAAACTCTGTACTGGCCAATGTACTCTAAAGCAGAGGATAAGAAGTGATGGGCTAAGGATCATTTTGTAAATAAAGTTTTATTGGAACATCGACAAGCACACCATTTATATACTGTCCACAGTTGCTTTTTAGTACAACATAGACTTGAGTGTTACAATGGACTATTCTGCAAAGCCTAACACAGTTGCTATCTGCCTCTGTGCAGAAAAACTATTCCAAACAGCATTATCATCTCCGTATGACTAACAAAAAAAAATAATTACCAGCGAAAACAATGCTGTTAAGCGGTATATTTGTTCAAAGCTGCATACTAGCAAATTATTAATAATGATAATAATAAAACTTTCTTCAGAGTCTCACACTAGTAACAAAGCAGCCTAGGAGAGAACACATGTCTTTGTGCCTGTAGAAAGTAAGCCTTTTATTATAGCCCATGCTCTCCTCTAAGAACTTAATAAAAATCCTCTTGATTCCCAAGTCTGTCATGGTTCTTATAATTGGCCAGTTAGCTAATCTTACAGAAAAAAACAAAAAACAAAAAACCAAACAAAACACCAAACAAACAAACAAACCCACAACTCATCTCATTCTTGTTTCCTCAAAGATCACTAAGGCCCCTCGCAGGAAGTGGGGAAAGTTGTATTGAATCACGCCACAGGTTTAACACACTGGGGTCATTTTTTCCCCTGCTTTTTTTTTTTAAACAGTGGTCAATACAACTGCATCTATGCCCATGGGTTTGCCTCCAGACTTCTGGGACACCAAACAGTTGAAGAGAATTGGATTTGGCCATTTCGGCAAGGCTCCCCAGGGCATCCTATCAGGACTCCCTCTCCCCAAAACCACACCCAGTCATGAGCTCCCTTCCAACTTAATCACCCAAGACCCTAACACTCCGAAAGGCTTATGTCTTAGGGTTCCTATTGCTGAGACTAACACCAGGACCAGAAGCAACACAAGGAGGAAAGGGCTTATTTCGCTCACACCTCCACATCAGAGTCCAAAACTGAACTGACATTAGGGTAAGAACTCCAGGCAGGAACAGAAGCAGAGGCCACAGAGGAATACTGTTTGCCAGCTTGTTTCCCATGGCTTGTACTCTTGAGATCTTACACCATCCATGGCCCCTAGGGAGGCAGGCCCTCCATGTTAGTCATCAATCAAGAAACTGCCCTAGCCGGGCGGTGGTGGCGCACGCCTTTAATCCCAGCACTCGGGAGGCAGAGGCAGGCGGATCTCTGTGAGTTCGAGGCCAGCCTGGTCTCCAAAGCGAGTTCCAGGAAAGGCGCAAAGCTACACAGAGAAACCCTGTCTCGAAAAACCAAAAAAAAAAAAAAGAAACTGCCCTAGGCTTTCCCACAGGCCAATCCGATGGAGGCATCTGCTCAATCAAGGCTCCCTCTTCACAAATGACTCCAGCTTGTATCAGTTAACATAAAGCTAGCCAGCACAGCTCACAGTCTAGGACAGTGCGGTTCTCAGTCTTCCTAGTGCTGCGACCCTTTAATACAGTTCCTCATGTTGTGGTGACCCCCCAACCATAAAATTATTACTGTTGCTACTTCATAACCATGAGTTTGCTACTGTTATGAATCTTAATGTAAGTATCTGTGTTTCCCGATGGTCTTAGGCGACCCCTGTGAAAGGGTCGTCATGACCTATACAGGTTGAGAACCGCTGATCTAGGACCTTCACTAGCTGACTCACACTACTAGAAATATCATTCAGTTTTCACTGGGGGCAAATGACAAGAATCAGGACAATTTGGTCAACTCACACACTAAGCCTCTAAGGCGAATCTGGCTCCTGCTTTGCCTATACACAATTCAGATACCCACTGAGAGAGAGGCCCAGTGTGCTGCCTCATTTTTTTGGCTGACAAGTTCATAATCAAATTACCATAGCAACTGTGAATTTTCATTATGGGTTTGGGAAAGCTCCTCTGCTATGAGGGAGGTTGTGCCGTTGTGGAGGAGGCACATTTAGTTGGCAGGGTTTGAACTGGGGTTGCTGTAGTTTCCCAAGCCTTGACTTTGAAGAGTGGCAAAGGTAATTCTAGACACCAACAATATCTTTACTAATATTCTAAATAATTTCTAGGTCTGGCACAGCAGAAGGAAGAGTGGATCCTGGAGCTTCGTCCCCCTCTAAAATCAATTTAGTGACCTAGCAAGTCAGTTATTTAGGCTTCAAATCCCAGTTAGCGCATCTTAAAGATCAAAAAGCTGAATGCAACCCCCTTCAAAATCTAATCGTTTTAAATTATATGGCTCTACAAATCTCTCCTCTTCTCTGCTCACACGCACACCGAAAGTCTAAAGACAAAACAAAACAAAAATAAAAAACAAAAACACAAAACTAAACTAAACCAACCAAACAAAACATCTGCCCCTACTACCTTTTCAGCGACAGCCATGACACACAGATAATGAGATGGTACGGCTAACCAATATCTGTTTCTCCACAGTTCACTAAATGGATGACCACAACTCTAAAACCCTGGGCTCTGGGGACAGACACATCAGTCTACATGGCAAGGCAAAACAAAGCTAACCAAACCCACCCACAAGTGCAGCAAGAATACACCAAGTCCAGAATAAGGAAAGAACACCCAGGTATCTGCAAGTACTTAAACTTTGCTTTTCACCAAGTGGCTTACTCACCATCTGGCTTAAATGGAATTTTATTCTTATAAAAGCGAAGGTTGCTCAAGTCATTTTGATATCGGATATCTTTGAAGTTCTGCTAAAGGAAAAGATAAATTAATCTCCAGTATATGGAAACACACACAATAAACGCACAAGGACCCTTCTGACATGTTTTCTTACCAGTGGAGTAAAATCAGAAAAACAGAAAGACAAGAGTTTACATTTAAGGGGGGAAAGCATCCCGTTGTCTTACTGGGTACTGATGTCGGTATTTGTACAAATCCCTCGCAGCATAGAAGCTCCTCTTTGGTTTGGCAGTGGCTTCTGTGGGATCACCACCCTAAGACACAGAGTGAAACTCCACTTACACAAAGAAGGATACTCAGAAAGTTCCAGAACAAACTCTAAAACACTCAACATCCATAAAGAACCCTGAACATCGACAATCCATTCAGTTATAGAAAACTACTATGTCTCTTCAATGATGCTTTACGAACAATGCTTATGGGCACGACTTCCTTGTTTACATTAAAAACCCATATCCTAAGCTCTATCACTAAATAATAAACTTTCAATTCACTAAATAGTAAACCGTTCAACGCCTTTGGAGGGCAAATGCTAAGGACCAGTATCGATCCAGAACAGCACTCAGAATGAATTGAAAACATGTTTCACCCGATGCAAAATGGAGCCTATGACAAAACTTATTTTATATAATTCTATGAAAGGGTTAAGTTGGTAAATCAATTCTACACAGAAGATTCTCATTAAATGTGCAGCTCTGAGCTGCACTTGAAAGTCAAGTAATATTTATGAAAGGAAGGGAGGATTTTAAACTAAATTAGCTTTCTAAATTCCTTCAAAGCACCATAACAAACATACAAGGCATGAATAATCGTCCGCCCATTCAATGATCAATAGGCTATAAATCAGCAAACTTGAGATAAATACACAAAGCAAGATAAAGCTCTGGGGTGGAATGAACGTTAACTGAAGTATGTGGCAGTTCACTCAGGCTGCTTACAAAGTGCCACCACCTCTGGGATGCCATTTCCAATGGATAAGATGCGGGTCTGGCACCCTTTCGCCATCCAGACCATATAATGCATGACACAATGCTTTTGTCCGGTGACATGCAGGACAGTGAGATGGAACATGGCGAAGACTGTGGTGTTAACAAATGAATATTCATTAAGAGAGCTGTCCCCAATCCTTTCTCTCATTCTCTCCTACCCTCTATCTGTGTTGACAGACTGGCATCCTTCTAAGCAATTTTCACACATTTCTGAAGTGGTGTGATTCTCACTCTTACTACCAGTACAGAGATACTTTAACACCAAATCCTCTGATGTCTAACGGTAGCTACACTGTCATGTTACATAAGCAAGGAAAAGCTTCAATTCTGGTTCTTGCCACACTTTTCAAAATAGCTCTGCCTCGCAAGTTTCGGGATCTATTTAGCCTGAGCTACAACTACATGAATCATCATCTGCATTTGCAGAAAGCCCTTTTCCATTTACAAAACACTTCCATGTATATTACTTCACTTGAGTCTTACAACATACCTGGCCTGACATTCATTAGTGTTTGTATCTTAGAAACAAGGTTGCTGGAGTTTAAGAGGAACTGAACAAGGCTCAGAGCCTAGTAACAGCACAAGAACTAGCTGCATGCCTGTTTGCCTAATTAGGTCTGAACCAGTTTCAATCCCTGCTAAAAGTGATGGAAGTGAGGGAAATTTGAAAAGCCTCTTATAAAGATCAACGACCCAAGATCAGGAGCCAAGAGACTAAGGTGAGTCTTGGTTCTGCTACTTAATATTGGTGAGGCCTTAAGCAAATCACTTAGCTGAATCTTCGTTTTATCATCTGTGAAGATAATGACTCATGGCCTGCCTGTTCCCCAAGTCTGCCATGTAACTGATCGCATCCTTCAGCCCGCCAGCATCTGTCCTGTTCAATTCTGTATCCTAGCCTCTTCCTCAGAGAGGATTCTGCACCTTAGCCTACCATTCCTTTCCCCCCGGATCATTAAAACTTCCCTCTTCCTAACCATTCCCGAAACCAACAAGCATGCTATACTCTCTCCAAACTTCGGCATCGTATCTCCATTGACCCAAGTCTACCCCAAGTACAGACCACGCCTCCGCTCCCCTTTCAAGTAAATCATCACCAAAGAATTGTGCATACTCTCTATCCTTCTAGAGCCCATCCCATGTCCTAAATAAGGCTCTGCCCACAGCATCACATTAAATTAGGACTGTTAGGAACTTTTCAAATCTCTGTCTGGTCAAATCACGTCTCAGTGATCATCCCAGATGACTTCCCAGCAACACTGGACCCCTTAAGGTCCTCCACCCAGAAGCAATGTTAGCACTTAGCTGTCAGAACACCACGCTCTCCAGTCTTGTTCCGGTGTCATTGGTCCCCTTTTTTTGGCTCCTCCTCTTAATCACAGCCTTTGTATAGAGCAGTGGGTCTCAACCTGTGGGTCACGACCCTTTCATAGGGGTTGCATATCAGATATCCTGCATTATCAGATATTTACATTGCAATTCATAGCAAAATTACAGTTATGAAGTAGCAATGATATAATTGTATGGATGGGGGTCCCCACAACATGAGGAACTGTACTAAAGGGTCGCAACATTAGGAAGGCTGGGAACCACTGGTCCAGAGACGGTCTGTCCTCATCCCTCATGACTCCCCGATGACCTCTTATCTAAGAGCACTGATTTTTAAGTACAACTAATCCTAAATGCCTGCCTACAGCTCCAATTCTAGGCTGACTATCGATGTATAGATAACATTAACTACTCTACAATCCCACTTGGACGTCTAATAGGATGGGAAACTTAAGATAAGACTTGACTTAATGGCTAAAGCGTCTTCCGCCCCAGGCTTCCTCATCTCAGTTAATGGTACCATCCTTTGCCTAATGTTTACAGAGAGATGGATGGCAGCAAAGTCTACCCAAGCAGACTACCCAGACTGGCGAGAAGCCAGTCTGCAACCTACTTTAAAAGGAGAGCTGACTGCTCCAGGTAAGGAACAAACAGGGTGAGGAGTCAAAACATAAAATGAAAACAGTATTTCAGAAGTTTGGCGGTACTTAACTGGGGGAAGAAGTAACCATTAAGAGGTGGTCTACTATTTACTCAGGTTGGGGAGCACTGGCTGAAATGTTACCACACTATTTTACATAGACTGACCTAGTTCATTAGATTATTGCCTGTGTTGGTTTTGTTTTTTAATATCCCAAACTTCTGCCCATGGCAACTTACTTGAAAGACACATGGAAAGATAAAACACTGAAATATGGCACACAATACTGTCTCAGGGTTGGGCACACAATGCGGAATGCAAACCAGACCGAGCACAAGGGAAGGATGGCCCGGATCCCACCCATCAGGGCCAAGGGCGCTCACTTTGGCGACAGACATACTTAGGTTTGCATCTTTCCTTCTGTGCTCTGGGCAAGAGTCTCTCTGGAAGGCTCACAAGTCTCCTAAATGGGGAATGGAAACGGCACGCACACACCCCGAAATTGCATTCCTTTTCAATATCATGCACCATTAGCTCCCCATAAGGAAGACTTGGACTTCCTCGCAAGGTGTTGCTTCCCCGAAAGTCACATATCGGACTTGGGGCTCCATTTCCCCTTAAGTGGCAAAGGGGAGTCCTAATACAGAACCACCAACCTTAAACACTGCAGACTTCTTTAAAAAATACAGTTCCTCTATTTAAAAGTTTCTAAAGCCATGAGGTTAAGGGACAACATCTCTCTCTCTTCTAACCTCCCTAACCGTATTGGTCAACTAACTGACTTAAGCTTGGTTGGATCAACAAGTCTTCTGGGTGAAACAAACTGTTTAAGGAATGTCTTGAAGTCGTTGAAAGGTCTCTCTTGGGGGAAAGAACGGAGACATATTAAGTTTGCACAGGAGCCTTACTGCAATACTTTTAATGGCCGTGGACCCCCGCTGAGGGGGAGCCTGGGGGCCGCCGCTCGGCAATTGCAGTTCCGTCCTGTTCTGAATATATATATATTTTAAACAAACAGTAACACGCACCGGCCGGGTCCTCACAATCCTCTATTTTTAGGTTGGTTCCTCCCACCCCACCTTCGCATCACCCAGCTGCGCTGCAGAGGCAAAGATAACACCTAGTGGAGTCGGGGTTTGCCTTGGGGGACTTCCCCATGGTGCTCACAGCAAGGCCCCGGGCCAGCACAGCTATCCACTCAGGCGATCCTGGCCACCGCAGGCTCCCCCAGGTCGAGTACCCGGGCCACAGACGCCTAGCATCCCGCCCGCCCTGCATCCCCCGGGGGCCGCGCGCTGTCCCCTCCCCGGTGCCGGGGCGCTTAGCCCTGCCGGGCCCACCATGGATCCGGCGGCGGGGGGGGGGGATTCGCGTTTACCTGCTCGGCGCCCCCCGCCTCGGCATGGTCCTCGGGCACGGGGCTGGCTCGGGGCCGCCCTCCGGCTCTCTCGGGAGGCTGCTCGGGCTGCTCCGGTTCGTCGTGCTCCTGGCCCTCGCCACCGCCCGCCGGCCCCGGCTGCTCGGGCTCGGGCTCCGAGTCGGTCTGCCAGGTGGAGTCGCAGTCCTCCACGGTGGTGGGCTCGCGGAAGCTGACCCCGCCGAGCAGGTTGCCCATTGAAGAGGCGGCGGCGGGCGCGGGCTGCGGCAGCGCGCTAGGGCCCGGGCATGGCCGCGCTCCCGCTCGGGGCGCCGGCGGCGAAGCTCGCACGGCCCGCGCCGCACAGCTCAGCGCGGCCGCCGGCGCTCCAGCGCACAGGCGGGGAGGAGCCGGGCGCCCCGGGGCCGCCGCCGCCGCCGCACGCGTCCCAGCCCGCCCATCCCGCCGCCGCCCCGCCCCCGAGGTGCCAACCCCACTCCGGAGCGCCCGTCCGCCAGCTCCTCCGGGACGCGCAACCCCCTCCCTCCACGGTCCCCGGGAGTGGACAGGGGTCAGCTGCTGGCCCGCCCCATCTGGCTCGGGAGCCGCCCCCTTGGGGCTCCTCCCCGCTAAGCGGGAAGATGGATCCCGCCCCGGGTCAGAGAGGGGAAGGAGGTGTCTCCATCAGCAGGCGGGTCCTGCCCACACCCCCGCCCCCCACCGGCTGGTCCAAGAGGAAGACAAATTAGCCGCCGCCGCCGCCGCCGCAGCAGCAGAAGCCAAAAGCTAATATGGTGTGACAGGGCACCCTCTAAACAGGAAATCCAAGCTTCAGGAACAGTACTTAGGGCCACCTAGAGTCCCTGCGGTCTGTGTAAAAAGTCAGAGCTATCTGTCACCGCAGCCAAAGAGCAAACTTCTCTTGAAACAAAGGAGCAGTAAGAACTAGACCAGCATACTCCATCTATGAGTAGTTTTAACAGTACCCACTCCACATGTGTGCTCTATGCAGAAAAATCTCAGGATCCGTACCACAGATAGGCTGGTTCTACGTGGGGTTTAGACTCATGGTTCTAAGGGGAACCATTCGGTAAAAGTACTCAAGGCAAAATAACAACCAAAGAATCCGAAAAATGATAGAGTGTAAAACGAATCTCATGAAATTGGGCCCTCATCCAGCATGTGAGTCTGGACGGGACTGTTTTCTGCTCCGGAACATTGCCTGGGCTCATGCAGGGAGTTTGGTGCTCAGAAAACATTATTGAATACGGCCAAGAAAATGGGTTAGTTTTTTGTTTGTTTGTTTTTTAAATCAATCAATTGTACTCAAAACTAGTAATTTAAAAAAATACAAATCAAGGTAGGTGGGTATTGCTTAGGGGAGACTCAGACGAGCAGGATGCCCTACCCACAGATAAATCAGGGTTGCTTCTTTTCAAACGTTGCAGTAGGGCGCACTTCTATCTCTAGTTTCTGACTTTGGATAGGTCACATAGCTTCTTGAGACCCCAATTCCCTCATCTTCAAAATGAAGCCAGGTTTTTCTCTCTAGAGTAGCATCTAGCTTGACCTTTAATGACTTTATGACTAGAAGAGGCTGGCTCTAAAACTAATAATGGATCCATAATACACACAAAAGAGCTTTCTGGTCAGAATATCATAAAAAACTGATGATATTAAGATGAAATCCGCCGGGCGGTGGTGGCGCACGCCTTTAATCCCAGCACTCGGGAGGCAGAGCCAGGCGGATCTCTGCGAGTTCGAGGCCAGCCTGGGCTACCAAGTGAGTTCCAGGAAAGGCGCAAAGCTACACAGAGAAACCCTGTCTCGAAAAACCAAAAAAAAAAAAAAGATGAAATCCTCCTTGTCAGACCCAGACAAAATTAGAGCCAGACAGTATTATTGGGGGAGGGGGTGTTCATGCCTGTCTGAGGTAAGTAGTTTCTTGGCTCATAAGATCTGTGTCTGTTCTAAAAGACAGTCATGCTCTGCATGCCTCTCCCCCGGAGGAAAAAAAAATTATCCTGAACATTAAGATTGCAGCAGTCCATACAAATGTTCCTGCACACTTTCCTAACATCCTACCTACTATACAAATGAACTCATCTCAACTCCTTCCTTCCACCTCCAAAACCTCAAATCTTGATATCCAAGAAGCTAACGCAAATTCATCTCTTTTCGAGTTTAGAATCATATCCTTGCCTCGAACCTTCTTAAATAAATCCACAGTTTATTCTTGTTGCCTGCTCTCTCCACAATGCTCTGCTCTTCCCAAATCAACATCATGGCAGAGAACCTCTAATTGTCCTTTATGTTGACAATGACTGGGTGAAAAAAAAAATTACGGGTTAGCTGCCCAACAAATCAATCCAACACTGTTAAATTCCAGGGATTCCACTCATCTTCCATCGGTACTGGACTAGAACATACTGCAAAAGTGTATGTTAACTAGTCCAGGGTCCATGATGCTGAAAGTCTAGGGATAGTGTGCCCAGGTGCTCCGCCAGTTGGCCCAGTTGTGTGTAAATTGCATTGCATTTGCTTGCTTTCCTGTAACTAAGCCATGATTTCCCCTGCTCCCAGATGTCTTGGTTGCATGTAGGTTTTTGTCTAGGGTGGAAGCCCCGTGAGATTCTTCCCCTTTCCCGTTAGCATGTCTAATGGTTGTCGTCCCTGGTCAGGTCTTGTTTAGGCGGTCATGTTCATGAGACTTCCTGGGTGTAGCCTCCTGAAAACAGGAAATCTCACAGCAAACTCCTGTTCCTCTGGCTCGTAAGCTTTCTCCTCCGCCTCCCTCTTCCACTATCTGTACCAACAATTTAAAACACACACACATGTCTACACACTTGAGAAAGAACAAGGGGGTGCGGGTTCATGGGAAGGGTTAGGGGGAAGAAAAGGGAAGGGCAAAAATGTTGTAATCACATTGTAATTTCAAAAAATTAAAGACAAGAAAAAGACACTTTTAACCCTCACTCTTGAATTGGTTCTAACCTTGAAAAGCAGAAGCTGGAGTAAGAGATATTCTGAGATTTTCAAAGTTTAGCCACAAGGAATTTGCATTTTCAGCATATTATTTTGGGTTATTCCCTCTGATAGCTCTGGGCTAACATGTAAATTCAACTCCCTTGATACTGCCTAGCTGGAAAGGCTACTGGAACAGGACTCTGGCCAGGGATGCCAGCTAATCCCTGCCTCTCGGTATCTCTTGTTAATTGTGAATTGCTTTATGTTGAATCCATTCACCAGGCGGATCTCATTCAGCAGGATTCATTGATCCTACTCAGAACAAAATAAACACACAATAGAGCGCAGATCAAATTTCTGAGTCATGAAATTTAAAAAAAAGACTCTTGTTTTTAGGTCACCAAATTTTGAATTTCTCTCTTATACAATGGGAAGTATATATACAAACACACACACACACACACACACACACACACACACACACACACACACACATATATATATATATATATATATACACATATAAACATAAATAACTGCTCCAGTTAAGCGCTTACATTTTCCTACACCTTTTGGCATTTTTATCAGTTTTATAGGGTGATAGGTCACCTGCCAAGTTGTGAAATGTATTTATTAGTGAGTGTTGTTTTATATGAAATATCATAAAAACATAATATAGAAAAACACTGAAAGTTTAAAGCAATATTTTGCCTACATTGTATCTAATATATGTTTTTAAGAGTTAATTCTGAATGTCTCTTAGAATTAAAAATTGAAAACATTCCTACCTTTGAGAGTATATAACGTTTTTGAATTAACAGTTAAGCATATTTAAAAAAGATCATCATTTTGCTGGATATGGTAGTATACCTCCATCTTAGTTAGGGTTATCATTTCTGTGATGAAACACCACGACCAAAGCAGCTTGGGGAGGGAAGGGTTTATTTGGTTTATATTCCTACATCCTATCCCAGTTCATCATCAAAAGAAGTCAGGGCAGGAACCCAAACAAGGGCAGGAACCTAGTGCCAGCAGCTAACATGCCATGGAGCAGAGCTGCTTACTGGCTTGTTCCCCGTGGCTTGCTCAGCCTGCTTTCTGACGGAACCCAGAACCACCAGCCCAGGGCTGGCGCCACCCAAAATGGACTGGGGCCTCCCTCATCAATCACAAATTAAGAAAATGTCCTAGGCTTGCCTACAGCCCGAACTTATGCAGGCATTTTCTTAATTGAGGCTCCTTCTTCTCAGGTGACTTTAGCTCATGTCTAGTGGACATAAAGCTAGCCAGCACAACCCTAATAGTGACTCAGAAGACTAAGATGGGAGCCTTCATTTAGGCCTGGAGTTCAAAATCAGCCCAAGCAGCACAGGGAGAAATTATCTCAAAACAAAACAAATTTCAGCCCTTAACCCAGAACCCGGAAACATCTTAATTTATCAGGGTGTATTAGTTCTTGTCATTATTCATCTACTATGTCCTTCAAGAATATCAGGTTGAGTTCTAATGTAAATTGTATGTGGAATGAGGAGAAAGTGCTGTCAGGATGAGCATTAAAGAAGCATGGCTTCTGCCTCTCTGTATCCGGATTCTCGCTGGAGTCACACACAGGCACTACTGCGATTCTCCAGTGTAATTCTGTTTCAGTTTTGCTTGGGAAGCATTGAAAGGTCTTCAAGAGGAATGGACACTTCAGAAACTAAACCTTTGGATGGATTCCCAAGTGCATCTGGCATAACATGCATTTGATTTTTATAGTGAGTTGTGTTTTAAGAATATTAGCAAAGGAGGTCTTGTTGTGGTGTATGTCCTTTGGGAATCTTCCAAATGAACACAGAGGTCAGATGAAGGACCACTTTACCAGGAGTTAACCCAGAATCCTAGAGGGGGGAAGAAAAAAAATATCTCAAAGAAACAGCTGTGTGCCAGGACCCTGGCATTCACCACAGTACACATCTCTGCAGAGCCACCGTGCCCCTAGGAAGAAGATGCTCTTTGCCTCACTGGATCGGAGGTCCCTCCCAAGGACTCCAGGAGACACCTTCCAACAGGGCACAACCTACAGATCCGCTTCTGGATTCTTTGACCAAACCAAGACTTACTAGAAATTTCCCGAGATCATCTCTCTTTTCAAAAAAGGAATTTGTAAATGTTTTAGTTTATGAAGACAAAATGAGGGGGTGCTTTGTACATGAGCTACCACTCCCCAGTTTTAGCTCTCCTGAACGTGCAGCGTCACCACCGCGATGCCTCCTACAAAATCTGCTCTTTCACTGGATACCGCACTTGGAAAAGCTATTTTTATCTTGCCTGTTATTTCCTATCTTTACAGGATTTCATGGCTGATGTATTTTCTATCCATTAACTCTTTCTTTAAGTCCTCTTATGACCA